CCCAAATATTTGGTATTTCCTGATTGCAACTGTAGACCTGAGGGATTCTGTAGAGAGCAACTAATTGGTAGTATTATAGATTTAGACCGATTTATAAAGTAATCTGAGACTTTTGAGAAAGATTCTAGTAATCTAATTACTTGAGGGAGGCAAGTGTTTGAGTGCTTGAGATAAAGTCATATATCATCTGCATAATGTCTAATTTTATTCTCTTTTTCATGTCTTTTATACCTTTAACCACATTAGTTTGTCTGATTGTAGCAGCTAGAGGCTCAATGAAAATGGCAAAAAGTGAGGGGGGAGCGGGCATCCCTGCCTGCTGCCCCTCTGGAGACAAAAGCTGGAAGATGTTTGATTATTTGTCCTGACAGGCTGTTGGGAAGCTGTATATTAGCTTCTTTTTTAGCAGCAGATTAATTCAAGAGCATATACTAAAGACCTGTTATGTTCTAGCTGTAGAAAAAGTTCATTATCTTTTTCAAAACAGAATACTAATTATATATTTAACTGCATTTTATGTTCGAACTATCACACAATGCTATACCTTTATTAAATTAGTTCCTAGATTAGTTGTTGCTTGATTCACGCAAGTCTGTAATCTTAATGACTTCTGCTCTCTGATCTGCAGCCCCTCCTTGTTGTATTTACCCACACCCTCAAGGAAGCACCGAGCTTAATCACGATGCAGCTAACCAAGAAACAACATGCCCACTTTCTGCGATCAGTGAGTGATGGGAGTGCAAGCCTGATCATTTCTGCTTAGAGTTGAGAAAAAGTGGCTCTTTTAGCAACTAATCAGCACTATTTCCAAGTAGAATTCTTTTTTTTTGCAGCTGCAAGAGATCTGCTTTATTCATTCAAAGAGACATTATGTATGTCTTTACTGGAAGGTATCTTTCCTTTTAATTTAACTCTTTATGACTAAAACACGGTTTGATGAGTAGAAACAGGCGATGACGCCTCAGTAATATCAGCCAGTATCCTATTTTCCTGAATGTACTTCAGGTTGGAAGCTCCTGCACTACACTGCGGATATGACATCATCACATCCATGTTGAATTGGCCCAATCAGCAATCAATCTAAGTGTTACATCCAAGATGGATTTTGTGGATACTCAGAGGGGACCAGCATCCAGCTCAACTCAGACACCAATGGCAACTCCACCTAAGGTAAAATAGGTAAATAAAAAAAACTTGTGTAGTACAAGTGAAAGCTACGAAAACAAGGACAGAGGTGCTGCAGCTCTGTGTTTTGCCTACAGGTGGCAGCATCACTACAAAACTTCACGATGCCTCTTTAAATGTGCAGTACCAACACTGTCAAGGCACGTGTCTTTCTTTAAAAGAAAAGAGCTAATATTTCATGAGCCTTAAAGTAACAAAAGCATGGACTTGTTTTCCAGCATCACGCTTGGACAGGAGATTTCTAATTTTTGCAATATTCTGCAGATGAAAGAAGGAAATTCTAGAAACCTCTTTGGTCTGGGATTTAAATGACAGGTCCTGATTGAAAATATGATTTGGTGTAAGAGGCAACCGCATGGAGAGCAGGATACCAGCTAATTTTCCAGTCGGTTACATCAAAGCTATTGCCATATCTTGAGAGTGTTACCTTTGTTATAAAAATAATCTGTTAATCACAGACGGGGCATCTAGAACCATCAAGTCATCTCTATGTCATATATTGGTTCTGCCCAGCCACTGAACAAGGTGAGTCCAATCTGGTTTAACCCCTGCAGATTGGACTTGCATGGCTTAGTGGCAGGGCAGAACAGATAGATGAAATAGAGATGACTTGATGGCTCTAGATCCCCCGTCTCTGCTGTTAATCGATGAAATAATTCTGTTTTGAAAAATTGCTCTTGTCATATAAAAAAGCAGTAAGATCCATCATTGGATAATAATTCTGGGCATTCTGTACATCGCTTTGACAGCAATGATGACTAGAGCTGGCAAACAAATGACACTAATGAACACAGTTAATATTAAGTGTGGGAACAGATAGCATGTTGTCTTCTTCTTCTTCTTTAGATTTCATTTTCCTTTTGGTCAGATGAAATACTCCAAACAACAACAGGCTGAGGTGACCCAAACCCGATTTTTTCGTGACCTGTATCTGATCTTTTCATGAAAGTCTTAAAAACACAGATCTGTTCATTTCCACTGTGACCCAGTCCACTTGGCTCTGTGGTCCTGAATCTGAAAGGTATCTGATCTTTTCCAATGTGACCTATGTCTGAACAGCCAGGTCACATTTCATCCTAGCTGACCGTTTTTAACACTCAACAACAGTCACTATTCTGCATCTTGTCAACAGTGGCAGACAAAGAAGCGGATCTTTATTTTCAGCCTTCTTGAAAGGATTGCAGACAAAAAACTAACAAACAAAAACACTATTCTGGTTGAAGCTAAAATTATTTTAGAAATATACGGGAAGTCATTTATAATCATAATTATATTCACTTATAGCAAGGCATGGCAGCTGGATGCTGGAATACATCGGGTAAAAGTGAAAA